AACAACAACAACATACAAGTGAAACTAATATAAGCGTGTTAAAAATCAAAAGAGTTAAACGTTTTTAACACGCTTTTATATATATAAACAAATTTTTATTTTGACTGACCATTATCATCCGCATGCATACGGCTTACGTATATATTCCTACCGCCGTTTATACCTCAGGTATAACGTTAGTCTGATCCGCCCGCCCACAAAACACGGCTATACCTAGTGCATGATACGTTTACATACTTAAGTCGCTTTACTTGTATATATACATTCTAATTACTATTAAAAATATATATTAACACACTTTATTCTAATTAAGAGATAGAAAGTATTCATTCCGATTATGAGGATGATTTCCGTATCGTTATTTTTCGTCACTACCTCCACGTTCCGGGAGTAAGTAATTTACGCGCCTGCTGCTTTCCTTGGATGTGGTAGCCGTTTCTCAGACTCCCTCCCCGGAATCGAACCATGATTTCCCGTTACCCGTATCAACCATGCTATTGATAGTAACTACTATCATAACATGAAACTAAAAAGTAAAAAATAAATATAGTTAAAAAAACTAAGAAAACACGCTTTTAAATTATATTTATCTCGTTTAAATTCAATAACTTCAATGAATATCAAGGTCATATTAAATTCATATTAAAATAATTTTACTACATGATGTTTGTGCCTGTCAGCACTCACTTGACCAATGTTATTTAACGATACGTCAAATGATTACAACTAGTTACAAGATATTACCCTCATAAATTGAAAAAAAATCCCTTTAACAAGGTTTCTCTATACACACAATTAAAATCATTAATTTCTAATATTTTTAAAGTATTCACTGTCAAATTAGGTATGATATGATAATAGGTTTCAATTACAAAATTAAATAATTTTTCTTTGTAATTTATTCATTTTTTAACTTTATTTGTGTGTGCTACTACTAGACTATAATATTCCGAATTTTTTGGTAACATGTTGAATAAATCATTTCTAAAAAAAAAAGGTTTTTAGTTTCACATGAATTTTTACAATTATAAACGAATTTTAAAATACGTTTAATTGAGTAGATATTTTTAACAACTTTGTTTTGATTGGTTTATTTAGTTAAAGTAAATCATTAAAATTAATTAAATTTAATTGTAGAATCTTTTTAAACACCAAAAGTTATTTAGAAATTATTACTATGATTTCTTTTTATATTATGATAAAAATGCAAAAATAATATTGAGCTTTTCTGATAAATTTACTGTTAATAGTAATTATAAAATTTCCTAACGCATATAAATCTTAATAATATCATATTTTTTAATCCTCATATAATTTTCTAGTTTATGATGTCAATCAATCTTTTAAGTTAAGTTAAAAGTCATGGTAACAAATTCAACTTTTTTTATTATAAACTTTAAAAAATCTACTTTAAAGGCCCAATAAAATAGGTTAAATTTGACATTTTGTACTGATTTTTTTAAACATATTAAAAATCAGTAATAATTTTAAAATAATTTTTTTTTGTTTTTAATAATTTCTTTATATGTAAATAGTTATTTTTTACTAAATGGTAATAATATCAAAACTTAGAAGTGGTAGAAAAAGTCTAATTTCATTATTTCAGATTACAGATATTTATTATTGACTCATTATGCCATATAAAAAAATGTTTTAATCCAATTTTCTTTATAATTTAATTTTTATTTAAAGATAGATGATGAGTGTTTTAATTCTTTGATTAAAATAGAACTAAGCAGCTTTTATTTATAAAATTAATTTAAAAAAAATTATGAATTTTGTCGAATGAAATTGCTAATTAATTTAACCAATTTTAGTGACTAGGTGGTTATTCTTATGCACCTCGCAATAAACTCGGGTCTGAATAGGATCTAAATACTTATATAGGTACACAATATATACAGGGTGGCCCACCACTCACTGACAACTTAAATAACTTTTGATC